ATAAATAAAACACTAAAGGCCTCCTTGGTGGTACAGGGGTTAAAGTCTCAGTACTATAAAACTATCACCAGCCAATGAGGCTTGAGTTCAATCCCTGGTCAGGGAGCTAACCAATAAGGTGTGGCAGATCTCTCCTGTCTTGCCTGCTGATCCAGAGGTGTATTTCAGTCAATCGGCCTGTTCTGCTCCCTACTCTGTGGTGACTCCTCTCACCCACCCCGCAACCCCTCCACCTCTGGCCTCCACCCCAGTTCTTGTATGCATAAATAAATAAAAATCTTTTAAAATAAATAAAACGCTAACTCTTAATTTAGCAGAAAGTGACCAAATACCCTCGGACAAGTATTTTTGTTCTGGTATATGAAGAAAAGTACCCAAATGCTGCAATAAGTGAGTATACTCTCTTTCTCAGGACCTGTCCGAATTATTTTTTAAAAGAGAAACATTACAAATATCATTAAGGGAGGCTGAAATAGTTCCAACTTACTTGGGTGCCATGAATTTAGGATGGAAAATTCAATGTGTTTCTCAATTCTCAAACATCCAGTGGATTCAGGACATTTATAGAGGCATAACATCATTTGTAAAACTCCCCTGTGACACACACAGCACACCTACCACCCAGTGAACATTATTTACATAGCATTAAAAGGTTGCCACAAATCTCAATTCCTTAACCCAACAGTTATAACACCATTATACCTACTAAATTGTCACCCCTCTTTTAAATCCACTAAGTTCCCCCACTAAGAAAAACCCTTAGGGGCAGTTACATAGTTGGAGTGTCCTAAGGGGAGATCTGTTGCAACAGGGTCTGAAGAAATGATCAGACAGCAATCAGTTTCCCTTAGCAACACTAAGGTTTCACTTTGTAGCTATTTCCTGTCCTGACTCAAGAAATGGTTACAATCTAGTGGTTGCTATCAGTGCTAAATTAGTTGCCTGCAAAGTAAAATGTACCTAATGTTTTATTAACATTGTAATTGCTAAGGAGGGTTCTGAAAAATCCTTCTGACAAATGCTTTTTAAGTTACTTTATCATACTTAGCCTAAAATAACCATTCAGTACAATATATGCAAATCATTCAATTTTAGTCATGTATTTTACACTAGGGGCGTTGACACAACAAAATCTTTGATTCCCGACCTCCCTGGTGGCGCAAGGGGTTAAGTCGCAACCTATGAAGCTGTCTGCTGCCTCTCCAACAGGAGTTCAATTCCCCCGCTGGCCAGGGAGCAGTTGCCCAGCAGACTTCTCCTGACTCCCCAGCTCAGCAGCGTACTTCTCAGCAGCGTACTTCGGTCAGTGTGCCTGTTGTTTCCCGCTCTGTCTCTGGTGAATCCTCTCACCCCCCACACCTCTGGCCTAAACCCCAGCTCTTGCATGCATAAATAAATCTCTAAAAAAAAAAAAAAAGAACAAAAAACAAACTTTGCTTCCCAATATTCTGAAAAATATTTTTTGAGGAAATCTAAAATTCATGTGATTCATTTGATTATTCAACATCAGCTTATTTTTTCACCATTGAAAATCCTCCTTAAAAAAAAAAAGAGAAAATCCCTTTCATTCTACCCCATGTAGTAATCAACCTGCATCAATTATTTTTTTTTTTTAACTAAACAGGATTAAACACTGAGACAAGAAACCAGCATTCCCTACTGAATTGAAAGAATTTCCATCCCCAACTCAAAAAAAACAACACATTCTTCCATACATCCTTGGAGTGAGAAAGGAGGCAGTATGACAAAGGGCATGGAACTGGGGATTTGGAAGCAGGGAGATTTAGCATCTCATTTCCTGTGCACCTTAGGTAACACTCAACCTATCTAAACTTCACAATTTTATCATTTGTGAAATAAAGATGACAATAAACTTTGATATTGAAAAAGATAAGAACTATGTAAAAGATCCAGCACTCACTAAATACTCAGTTAATTTCACATTTTGCCTAAATACCAACATTTTGGAAATAAAATAATTTAAAAAACCACAGTAAGGCCTCTCTCAGACCTCTGGGAGCCTGGGAACACCAAAATAGGTCAACTGGGCTAGACTGGGGATACCAGGATGAATTAGGTCAAAATCCCTATCCTTGAGGAACTCAGAATCCAGTAGGAAAAGACAAGTCTAAAACAAATCAGATTGTGACAAGCACTCAAAGAGAAACATAAAAGAGTGCTGTGGTCACACAAAGGAGGAAACAACCACTCTGAAGGGGGAATGGAGGAGAGAGGTCACACAGAACAGCTTGGTTTTGGAGTTGAAACTAGGACTTCCAGGCCTCCCTGGTGGCAAAAGGAATTAAGGTGGAGCACTATGAAGCTATCCGCAGCACTGAGTTCGATCCCCAGCCAGGGAGGTGACCCACACGGCACAGCAGACCTCTCCTGTCTCACCCTCTGCTCCCCTCAACAGTGTATTTCAGTCTGTGTGTTCTGTTCCCCACCTGTCTCTGCTGAATTCTCTCATCTCCCGCACCTCTGGCCTACACCCCCGTTCTTCTATGCATAAATAAATCTTTGGGGCCTCCCTGGTGGCACAAGGGGTTAAGACGCAACCTATGAAGCTATCTGCTGCCACTGCAGCAAGAGTTCAATCCCCGGCCAGGGAGCTACCCACATGGCACGGCAGACTTCCCCTGTCTCACCCACTGCTCCCTTCAGCTTTGTGTTTCAGTCGGTCTGCCTGTTCTGTTCCCCAATCTGTCTCTGGTGAATCCTCTCACCCGCCCCCCCCCCGCCTGTACCCCAGTTCTTGTATGCATAAATAAATAAATCTTAAAAAAAAAAAAAAACTTTAAAAAAAAGAAAGAAACTAGGACTTCCCTGGAAGGAAGCAGAGGAAAGCAGGGAGGTAGCCAGCCTATCTCAGACAGAACAAACAGCCTGTGCTAAAGGAGACCACCTAACAATTAAGAGCAGGAGACTTTGGAGTCAGAACTTAAGTTACATCACAGCTAACTTTTTCATCCTAGCAAGGAAAACAGGCCCAAGCCACAGAATCTCTCTGCATTCCATTTTTTTTTCATTTACAAAATGGGAATAAAAGCGTCTATTTCACAGGGAGGATTAAACATGATAACGCATGTGAAGTATAAAGCTACACAGAATAAAAACTCCAGAGACCTGAGAATTGGTGCACCAGCCAGGAAACCAAGGGGCAGGAGGTGCGACTAGAAGGGTCTCGCATGCCAAGTAAGAAGTTAGGGTTGGGGCCTCCCTGGTGGCGCAAGGGGTTAAGACACAACCTATGAAGCTATCCGCAGCCACTGCAGCACAAGTTTGATCCCTAGCCGGCCAGGGAGCCACCCACATATGGCAGCAAACCTCTCCTGGCTCCCCCACTGCTCCCCTCAACAGTGAACTTCGGTCAATCCGCCTGTTCTGTTCCCCACTCTGTCTCTGATGAGTCCTCTCACCCTCCCCCCCACACCTCTGGCCTGTACCCCAGTTCTTGTGTGCATAAATAAGTCTTAAAAAAAAAAAAGTTGTTAGGATTAAGTGCTGAACAAGAAGTTTTTAATAGGAGAGTAAAAGGATGAAATATTTGCTTTATAAAAAGAACTGTGGTGTCCCTGAAGGAAACTCAGAGGAGAGCACACTGGAGGGGACCTGAGAGAGGAGGGTAGGAATTCAGGTAATTTTAATAAGATCAGGAAGGAAAGCACACACTCAAGAACTTTTTCTAAAGTAAAATCTATACAAGGCTTAATGAATGACTGCATGTGAGGAGTAGAGTAGGGAAATAAATGAATGAACAGTCCTCTCATTGGGATGACTGGGTGAAAGGTGGTGTCAGAGAAGAGATGGGAAACCTGAAGTGGGCCGACTGTTCTTTTGTGTCCACTTCTAATTCAGTTTTATTAAGTTAAATGTCTCTAGCCCTCTGTGAACAAAAGGTAATGTTGCAGTGAGAGGGGGCCCAGAGGCTCAGACGAGTTCAATGTCTAGTTCTGCCAGGTGCTGCTGGCCCAGGAGGAATCCCAGCTTTATCGTCCCCCCAGGAAACTAACTCCTGGGCCTATTTTATTTCCGGCCCGGTGCAGCCCAGCAACTCAAAAACGTTTGTTGGCGAGGTGGGCTCCGGAGGACGCCCGGCAAACACACTTAGCGAAATAACTAAGCTAGAAAGAACTAGCATCTGTGTTCCTCAGCAAAGGACCCAATTAGCAAGAAGGCATCCCTCTGCACTCAACATACAAAGTACCAAGTTATCTTTATAAACTTTGGCCTGCTTTGATTTTTAAACCAGTGAAGCCAACCCTCACCCCAACCCCCCAAAATAGCATATTGTTTCATCAGGGATCGCGGCGACAAAGTGGTGGAAAGGTAAGGAGACAGGTAAGGAGAACGGCATCCCGGTCGACCCCACACCTTCCTGAAGTTAGAACTTGACCGCTGTGTGACTCTGCAGTCACAAGGCGACAGTTTGCTAAAACGAAGAGCAATCTCAAACAACCCACGAACAAACTAACCTAACTTCCGTCGCTCGGCCTCCCTCTCTCCCCAACCCTGCCTCCCGGCCTCCCCGTCTCCCTAGCTGCGCACCGGGCCAGGCTCCGAGACCGGCGTGCTGCGGCCCAGGGCGGGGCGGCTCCGAGGCGCGGGCTCCCCGCCGGGGATCCGGCGCTCAGGCCTTCACCGCGGCGCCCGGTTTGGGGCTCCGGTCAGGCCTCCACATCAACGTTACCCCGGGTCCGGGAAGCGGCCATAGCGAGGAAGGGAACCCGGTCGGGCTCCCGGCGGAGAACGGAGTTAGATGCCCCGGGCCGAGCGGAGGGACCAGCGGTGGCTCCCTGCGCGGCCTGGCGCTCCCGCCCAGGCTGCGGCCTAGGTAGCCCGGTTTTCTCTCTCAGCCCGCGCGAGGCCCCGGGAGAGCGGCGTGACCACGCAGAGCGGGAGGACGGGTGGCGGCGCCCGGAGGAGCCCTGGCCTGCCGCGAGGGCCCCGGAGCTGGGAAGCCGCCCCCCGCCCAGCCGGCACCGGAGAATGGCTTTTACCTTCATCAGCCTCCTGCTGGCCGCCATCTTGGATCTGGTGCTGCTGCTTTCCCAGAATGCATCGGGGCCGACCAGGCGGCTGGAGCCCCCGCACTTCCTGGAGCGGGGGAGGGGTGGTGGGGAGGGGTGGTGGGGCGGGGAGGGGTTGTGAGGTGGGGTGGGGCGGGGCTGGGCGGAGCCGACAGGCAAAGCACCCACTCGGTGAACCCTGGGTGAGCTCTGGCGAATCCGACTAGGGAGACCTTATATTTATAGGGCGTCCATCCCGGTGGCAATTACAAACAGTGCCTGGCACGTAGTAGGTGCATAAGGTCATTGACTAACCAAGATTACTTCAGGCACTTGCGAAGTACTGTAAAGAAAATAAAACTGGGTGATTGGAATGTGACTTTTCACTGGAAGATCGGGGAAACTAGTAATAGTTAACACTGGGACCTACACAGTGCCTTGAAACTACCCTATATGAGGTGGTTACCATTAACAGTCCCCTTTCATAGGCAACACGCATAGAGAAGGCCAATGATTTGCCCAAGGTCACACAGCCAGCTAGTGGTAGAGCTGGGCTCTTGTTCCAGACTAGGCTGTGGGTTCCAGTGCCAACGTTGGGAAGGAGGCTCAAAGGAGAGTGTTTCAAGCAGGGGAAGAGGCCGTCTAGGAACAAAAAGATTAGAAATGAAGGGCCTTCTAGAAATGGGAGAGGTTCTGCTTTTCTTCTATGTGCTGTGAGAGACTTTCAATGGACATGAGAAGTGGCCATATAGTCAGATGCAGGTGTTTAAGGGGAACACTCTAATTGAAGAATGGAGAGTGGAGGTAGGTAGGGGGACATGAATCAGAGTAGGCGTGATTTGGAAACCTGATACAACTACCCAGGCAAAGAGGTGAGAGTGTTTTAGACTTTGGTGGCATTGGTTTTCCCTGGAAAGAAGAGAAGAAAGGAGCACCGAAGATAATATAGAGTGGAATAGGACTAGCCTCCAACAGAGCATCCCAGGTTTGACACAGGAAGAGAGCAGAGGAGAAACTAGATGACAAGCCTCATGCAATCAAGGATCCTGTGTGCCTTTTATGTCCCCTCAGGATCAGCACATGGTATATACTCAAACATTTGGCAAATGCAGGAGAGACTCCCTCAGTCAGCTCCCTAGAGATACAGGGGCCTGGTCTGGGGACTGACTCCACTGTACTAGTGTATGCATTTTGCCTGGTGCTTAATGGTCTCAGGTCAAAGAACATAACTTCAGTGGGGACTGCTCTCCCCTATGAAGAACAACAGAGGAAAAGGGTGCTTGTCCTAAAGAATTCCAAGCTTTTCCAAGCACAATTCAGATCCCTCACCTTGATGTGCCAAACTAGGAATAGAGAACGGGATTAGAGAGGTCAAGTGCCAAGAATTAGCCTTTGCTGTAGCATCTTTCAGCAATCTCACTATCACCCTGCAAGATGACTCCCTTACACCTACTTAGCAGATGGGGAACCAAGGCCTTGAGTGACAGAGTGCCATTGTTAAACAAGCACACAGGAATTGTGCCCAGCTCCGGCAGAAAAGCTGCCTGGTCTTTAAGACCCTCCTCTTGCTCTAAAACCTTCACTGTTCCTTGCAGCAGATCACACCACTTCCCTCTACTCAATCAACCCTGTTTATCTGGGCCTGATCTTTCCATGCCACCGCCCAAGCTTTCCATCTAACTGGCCTTTTTTCCCTCATGCCCCTGGACTCCAAGCCCTTCTGCTTGACCCTATCATAGGCTGCTCCTTCCTCCAATCAGCAGGCAGTCCTGGGTCCTCACCTGTTAGGTTCTAAGAGGGTGATACAAAGGTGATACCTGCTCTCAAGGAGCTCACAGCATCCTGTGAAATGAGAAAAGGTAGTGAGGGTTTGGTGAGGTGTAGGGGCTCAGCAGGGGGCCCTGATAGAGTGTAGAGAGGGGTCAAGTTGAAGGGGTTCTTCAGCAGGTAAGACTACAAGAGACATTGCAGGGAAAAGGAAGTGCCTGTACTGAGGCAGAGAATTGGCACTGGGTAACTTACCCTGGATACAGATGACAGTGGCCTGGCACCAGGTGCTTCACATACACACTGCCAACTTCATTGGCATCACAGAACAGTGCTAAGATGTTCTGTTTCACAGATAAAGAAACTGAAGTCCTGAGAGTGGTAGTTTACCCTTATTACCCAACTAAGAAGCAAGGTTCTAGGAGTTAGATCCCGATCTGATCTGTGCAAGTAAGATTCTATTTTGACCTGCTGACCCAAAACCTCATGTCTACATCCACCCCTCCCATCAACCAATGTTCTAGTCACACTATATCCCCTGCCTCTCACCATGCTGCTCCCTTTGCCTGTGATGCCTTTTTCATCCTTCTCCCAAGACCTCATATCCATCTGACAAGTGCTAGTCATTCCTAAGAACTCAACTTACCATGTTCACTTGGGTAACTTGACATCCTGCAGCATGCTGGGCTCCCACAGGTATGCACGCACAAGTACTTCATTGACTCTCCCATTCATCCTCTGAGGTCCAAACTGTTATCAGCTCCATTTACAGAGGAAGAAACAGAGACTCAAAGGGCCAAGCAGCCTTTTCTCAGAGACTCAAGCTCAAGTCTGCTCTTGGACTGTCCAGGTTAAACCAATGTCGGAAGGCCCAGACAACCGAAAGGGCTCTACCCTTCTCTCTTCCCTCTTTCCTTTCTACTCTCCCTCTTGTATTTCCTCCTTCTGTTCTACCTTCCTCTCTCCCTCCTTCCTTTCACTTTTCCTCTCCCTTCCTTACACAAACTCCACTGGAGTTTCTCTGTGCTTGATGAATGAAAAGTTTATTTCAGTGCTTGGCCTCCACCCTGCACTGACCAGACCAGGCTCTCAACAAACAGTTGATGAAGGGCTGTCCCCCGACTAGAGAAATGGCCAAATGATTGCACAAATGGTTATTGCCATGGGTGTCAATGTTTCAGGCTGGGTAGGTAGGAGAGTGATTGGAATAGGTTGAAAGTGGGGAGAAATGGAGATGGCAGAAGACAGATGGAAAAGAGGTCTATCCTGGCAACAGTGGGTAGCCAGAACTGTGATGCTGCCAAGAGTAACAGGGTCCTCAGGAAGCAGTGATCATTTGTCCAAAGACCGGGGATTATAGGTACCCTCAAGATCAAGTGTCATTGGGTAGGCTATCCTGACACAATTCAAAGTTCCAGCTTGGGTCATGCAGGCCTGAACAAAAGTTCTGTGTAGTCCTGGGAAGTTTTCTTATCTGGAGTGGACAATGCCAGCCTCCCTGGCTATGATGAGGGATCAAGGACAGGGCCTGCAAAGTGCAGGTGTGGGCAGGCTACCCACAGAGGCATACCTCTGAGGAGCTGGCCAGGCAAGAGGCCAGTTCAGGGTCCCATTCATAGAGCTGGCAGCTGGTACACCCTGCTCCTCCCTGCCCAGAGGGTGTAGACTGGACAGTACAAGGAAGTGGAGGCAGAGAGCAGCATGGTCTCTCTCCAGTATTTAGCCCCAATGAGGAAAGGTCAGTATTGGAGGTGCCAAACCTCCCCACCACCTGGAGTGAGAAAACTTGGCTGAAATCCTTCCTTTCTGAGCCTCTGTTTCTTCTCAGGCACGTGAGAACCATAGACTGAATGCCAGAAGGAGTGCAGGCCTGGCACGTGGGCATGTGAGAGGGCTGTTGCAGGAAGTCAGATTGCAGAGGACTGGGGACTTGCAGGTCACTGTGCCTCAAATCCAATTCAGCTCTGGGTAGCCCTCATGCCTGAGGCTGCCTCTGCTCTCGGGCAAGCCTGCTTTGGCGGTGGTCTTCTCCCTTCTTGCCACACCCCCACTCACAGCACCTGCTCAAGCTCCAAGTTTACTACAAACTTTCCATATTTGCATTTAAGCTCTACATCCACCTTTAGACTATAAACTCTACAAGGACAGAGACCAAACCTGGGCAAGATACCTTTGTCTTCTTTGATCATATATTTATTGAGCACCTGCCACATGTCAGGCACTGTTCTAAACTCAGAGCAAATATCAGAAAACTGACAGAAAGTTCAAAGTAAGGGAAGGGTCTTCCTGGTGGTGCAAAGGGTTAAGGACTGCACTATGAAGCAATCCATAGCCTCTGCAGCACGAGTTCGATCCCCGGCTGGCCAGGGAGAAACCCACATGGCGAGGCAGACCTCTCCTGTCTCACCTGCTGCTCCCCTCAGCAGTGTATTTTAGTTAGTCTGCCTGTTCTGTTCCCCACTCTGTCTCTGATGGATCCTCTCACCACCCCCCAACCCCGCATCTCTGGCCTGTACCGCAGCTCTTGTACGCATAAACAAATAAATCTTTAAAAAAATTTTTTTTAAATGAAAGTAAGGGAAGCAGAGTAGAAACCTGGGGCTGCTATAGGTATAGGGGTTAGAAAGCTTAAAACCCTCAAGTAGGCCCTCAGAATGGAGCCCACAACCCCCACTGTTAGGCAAACTCTGCAAAGCTCAGAGCTTGGGTGGCAGAGCTGCTAAAACTGGACAAGTTCAAGCTGGCAGAGGGGGGATATGAATCAGACTGCTCTCCAGACCATGTGAGCACATGACCCAAAGATCCCAGACCAACTCTGTGGGAAGAGGCAGCATGGAATACAAGATTGGTGATGTGGAATGAATGAAGAAGTGTGGAATGCATGCTGCCTTCTCTCTGCATTGGTGGAATCAGAGTGTCAGGGCAGTGTGTGTATATGTATGTGTGTGTGTAGACATAATAGACAAATTTGTTTCTAGAAGCACACCTCTTTATTAAACCAAAGCCCTCCTTAAACCCAATAAGTGACACTAATAAGTGCCTGTGTCCTATTGAAGCATCTAGGGGCAGTGTCTCTCCTTCAACTCATCCTTTCTTTCTCTCCCCCAATAGCCCTACAGCATTTCCTAGGAATCCTGTAGTCCTAAGGAACCCAATTTGAGAACCACCCATGTAATCCATACATTTCATATTATAAATAAGACAGTAGAGACTTAAGGAATGTGACATGGTGAGTTAATGCTGGTGGTTGCTCTCACTGAGCTCAAAGTGGATAGGGGTGACAGGCAGGTCACCAGTGGGTAATCATTGCACAATGTAATGAGTGTGGGGGTGACAGAAGCCCAGTACTGGGAAAGCCCGGGTTTGCTCATCCACTCAACCACATCCCAGAATGCCTCTGACATGCTGTGGGTGGTGCTAGCATGACTTCCTGCTGGATGGTGACTGCAGGGTTCCCAAAGAGTCACCCCAGAGTCCTTTTCTCTGGTGACAGCTTGTGTCTCTGATCTGACTGGTGGATGCCTCCTCAAAACTACAGCAGGGGGCCTCCCCGGTGGCGCAGTGGTTGAGCGCTGGGTTGCGAAGCTGCCCGTGGCCTCTGCGGCACCGGTTCGATCCCCGGCTGCTCCCCAGCCACCGGAGGAGGATCCCACATGGTGCGCAGACCTCTCCTGCCACCCGCTGCTCCCCTCAGCAGTGTACTTCAGTCCTTCTGCCTGCTCTGCTCCCCGCTCTGGCTCTGGTGAATTCTCTCACCCTCCCGCGCTTCTGACTGTACCCAGTGCATGTATAAACAAAACAAACAAACAAATATAATAAATAAATAAATAAAAAAAAAAAAAAAAAAAAAAAAAACTACAGCAGGGCATCAGGCCGGGCAGCCCCACCTACTACCTTGAAGCGACAGTCAGCTCTGCTACGGTTGGCCATGTGCCCTGGCAAGCCACCAGCTCTCACCACGCCACGGTGCTTCTTCTATCAAATACTTCTGTGATGAGGATACCAAAAGATACCCTCCCTGTTGCTATTACATCTAGCGGCCTCCCACATGTTCAAGGCTAAGGCATCTCTGTCTTACCCACTGCCAAGTGGTACCTGGCTTGGGATGGGAGTTAAGCAGCCCAGATGATGTTCTTGGTGCCTTCCCTGCCTGTGTGGCCTTACATCCCTTTCCTTCCTTCCTGGGGAGAGGCTTCACTCATACCTTCCCTGGGCCCACTCTGGGCAGGGACACAAATGTGTATTAGACACGTCCCTGCTCTCAAAGGAGAGGTGCGAGGTGGGGTGATCAGATCTGTTATGGGGGCTGTAGAGTCTTAGGGAGGCCAGGACAAGACAAAGGACAAGACAAAGTTCATAGTTAATAGTAGGTGAGAGCGTAAAATCGGGTTAGGTTGTGTTGGACCAACTGCTCAACATGACCTTGAGCAAAACTCTTGATCCATTGGGGCTCGAAACTCTGAATTTGTAAAATGGGTGGTTTAAATAAGGCATGATAAGCACTGAGCATCACTCATAGCAACTGATTAGTCTGCAGCGGGCATTGTGATTTGTTTTGTCAGGTAAGGTAGACATCCCAGGCAAGGGAACAACACATACAAAGGGTCAGAAGCCCCTTGCTCCTGAAAGAAGCTTTTGAGGGTCTCAGACCAAGTATAGGATGGAAAGAGGGGAATCTGTACAGATCTCAGCGTAGCTCCTACTGCAGATCTAGCCTTCAGTCAATAGAGACCCAGTGTTCCTTCAACCCCAACCATAGGAGGCCAGTTCTATCAACACTTCCATATTGATAGAACATGGAAGGAGTAAAGTAACCTGCCCTGGTCACTCAACCAAAATGTGGTGGAGTCTGGATAGACATCCTGGTTGCTGAGGCTTTCCATCTGCCATGAGGCATTCAAAAGTGGGTCTTAGGGAGCATAGAGCATACCTGTCCTTCTTCCACCATGGCAGTCATTTCTGGTCTCAGTCAAATCCCTCCTTGCAAACCTGAGTTTCTCTAGCTGTAAAAGAGGACTGAGATTTAAATGCGTGAAGGGCCAATCAGGGAGCCTTGCTCTATTCTGGCGACTGAGTGTACTCACCTCACTGAAACTTCACAAACAGGGGAAATGGATGCTCAGAGATGTCAGGGAACACTGCAAGATCACACAGCCTAGGAGGGGGCTGCATTATTAGCTCATTTTATGGACGAGGGCATGAAGGTGGCACAGAAAGCTAAAGATCTACTTGACTCCAGGGCCTTCCTGGTGTGCAACGGGTTGAACATCATGCTGTGAAGCTGTCCGCAGCCTCTGCAGTGCTGGTTCAATTCCTGGCTGGTCAGGGAGAAACCCACATGGCATGGCAGACCTCTTCTGCCTTGCCCGCTGCTCCCCTCAGCAGCATCTTCGGTCCATCTGCTTGTTCTGCTCCCTGCTCTGTCTCTGGTGAATTCTCTCACCCTCCTGCGCCTCTGACCTGTACCCCAGTTCTTGTATAACTAAATAAAAAAAATTTTTTTTAAGATGTATTTGTTTATACATACAAGAACTGGTGTACAGGCCAGAGTTGTGGGGGGGTGAGAGTGTTCACCAGAGACAGAGTGGAGAACAGAACAGGCAGATTGACAGAAATACACTGCTGAGGGGAGCAGTGGGCAAGACGGAAGAGGTCTGCTGCACCATGTGGGAAGCTCCCTGGCCAGGAATTGAACTTGTGCTGCAGTGGCTACCACAAGCTTTAAAGGTTGTTTCTTAACCCTTTGTGCCACCAGGAAGGCCCAATAAATAAAAAATCTTAAAAAAAAAAAACAAAAAAACTACTTGGCTCCAAAGACGGGTTAGCTCTAGCCATCATGACCCTTGGAGAGCCATGGAGAGTTCTCTGGCCTTGCTGTCTCCAGTGGGACCCACAAGGGCTTCTGGCTTTACCTTTTGGAGAAGCAGCCAAACCAGGGCACTCATGGACCAGATCAAAGGGCAGGTAAGGCCTCTATTCTTTTTTCCTTTACCTCCTTCCCTGCCTCTCCACTTGATAGGCCCCCACTCCAGGTTCTACTAGATCATTTTCCTTTTATACAATGCATGTATTATTGAGCCAACATTGGTTACAACACTGTATATGATGCATAAATATAGAATCCCACCTCTTCAGGTATATGCCACCACACCACACCCACCATGAGGGCACCCATAGTCCTCCATCATAACCTATTTCCCACTTTCCTCTTTACCTTCCCTCCCTCTCCGGTACCTCAGTTTTACAGTGAACCTGCTTCCTTTCACAAATGTGAAATGTGACTCTCCCCTCAACGCCCCCCCCACCACCACCAATCAGAAGAAAGACCTCTGTGACCCTGAGATTGGGCAGATGGAGTCAGAGTGCCCACAGACTTTGGAGATAGAATTTTCCAGATTTGAATTTCCACTTAGCTATTTTTGGATTGTGTGGTTTTAGAGAGGTCTTCATCTCCTGGAATGTTCTTGCAGGATGATTGTAAATTAACAAGAAAACACAGGTCAGGGATTTGGTCCTCCATGGAGTCTTTCAGCTTCCCTCTCCTGTCTCCCAGGCACTATGCTCAGGCTATGCACTCAAGACTTCTCATTTGTAAAATGGGCACAGGGGGGGGGGGGTGGGGGGGTGGGGGGGTGTTAAATGGATAATGTATGCAAGTGCTGGGGCACCACAGGGGTCCTTGGAAAGGCCTACCACTGGGATCCTACAGCCATCCTACAGGCACCAGGGGCCCAGGACTGATTTCCAAGTTTGGGCATATCCTGTTATAGTTGCTAGTCATCTAGACTCAAGCATGCCAATTGAACCCATTGCCAGGCAGGGCCAGGTCAGCTCATTTTCCATCCATGATATTGTCTCATGCAGGGAGCCCTTTTATTCAGACCCAGAGCAGTGGCCTGGGCTCCCACTGGGTGCATTGGCCTGACAGGGATTGTATAGTGTCTAGGCAAGTGCCATGTGCCACAAGGGACACGGTGATAGGGACAGGGAAGGCATGGGGCCAGAGAGACTCTGGGCATCCTAGAAAGAACACGGGCCAGGGTGACTGGCGTGTGGAAATCCCAGCCTTAATAACCTAGGCAGCCCAGGACAGAGTGAGGGATAGTGCACCCACGATAGTGGGTGCTGAAGGGGTGGGGAAACATGCCAGAGGCGGAAGGGGCACGAGGAAACACTACACTTCCCCCCTCCCCTTCCAGGGCACCGGAAGAGGCACGCGGGGCGGTTGGCCGCGGCCCGGACAGCGGCCGTTGGCGAGCGGTGGCCTAGGCCAGGTGAGGTCAGGTACCTGGCCAGGTGGCGGCCACCATGACCAAGGACTCGCCTAGCCCTTCGGGCGGCAGCCGGGTGACATCCAAGAAACCGGGTGGTTCGGTGCCGTCAGCGGCTGTGCTGGAGGAACAGAGGCGGGAGCTGCTGAAGCTGCGAGCCGAGCTGGAGGCCGAGCGGGCGCGCGGGCGGGCAGAGAGGCGGCGCTTCTCAGACCAGGCGCGCCAGCTGCGGGAGGCGGCCGAGCAGGAACGGCAGCAGTTGGTTGACCATCTGCGCTCCAAGTGGGAGGCACAGCGCGGCCGGGACATGCGGCAGCTGCAGGAGGAGATGCTGCGAGAGCGCGAGGCTGAGATCCGGCAGCTGCTGCGCTGGAAGGAGGCCGAGCTGCGGCAGCTGCAGCAGCTGCTGCACCGCGAGCGCGACGGCGTCGTGCGCCAGGCCCGGGAGCTGCAGCGCCAGCTGGCCGAGGAGTTGGTGAGCCGCGGCCACTGCGGCCGCGCGGGGGCGCCCGAAGTCGCCGCGGCGCAGTGCCACTGTCGCTTGCAGGAGGTGCTGGCCCAACTCCGCTGGGAGACGGACGGCGAGCAGGCCTCGCGCATCCGCCACCTGCAGGCGGCGCGGGACGTGGAGCGCCAGCTTTTCCTCAAGTATATTCTGGAGCACTTCCGCTGGTCCACGGCTGTGCCCGGTTCCCCGGGATCTCCGGCAGTGCATTCTGAAGAGCCGCCCTCCGAGACGGCCGGAGACTCCTGTGGCCTCCCAAAGTCCGCCCGTCAACTGGAATCCCTCGGCAGCCGGAGCGGTGGCGTCAGGATGCGCTCCCGCTCCCTAGACGTGGTCCCGGCGGCGTGCTCCAATGCCCCTGCCAGCCTGCTCCCCACGCGCGCCGGCTCCCTCGACTCCTTGGCACCAGCGCGTTCCTGCTCGCTCGGCAGTACTCTGAGTCGTTCCAAGACCCCTGAATTCAAGGAGCCGGCCTCCTCCTCGCCAGACGCCTCCATCCTGGGCTCTCCGAGCCCCCCGCCGCCGCCATCACCAACTTCATCTGAGCGCAGGAGACCTAGCGACCCGCGAGCAGACTCCAGCAGCCAGTCCTGGGAGACCCTGATCCGCCCGCCCTCGGGCCTGGACTACCACGAGCTAGCTAGGCAGAACTCGGCACTGTCCGAGGTGTTGCAGGTGCTGGTGCGCCGCTACACCGGCCTGCAGAAAGAGAACATGCAGCTGCGGCGCGCAGGCTTCCCGGAAGAGACAGAGGAGAAGGTGAAGCGGCTCAAAGGGAAGCAAGCGGAGCTGACCGGCCTGGCACGGCGCCTAGAAGACCGGGCACGCAGGCTCCAAGAAACCAACCTGCGAGCTATGAGCGCGCCTGTGCTTGGTGAGAGCCGCGCTAACCTGGAGCTGTGCCAGATCTTCGCACGCCAGCGTGCCCGAGACTTGTCAGAGCAGGCCAGTGCGCTGCTGGCCAAGGACAAGCAAATAGAGGAGCTTCGGCAGGAGTGCCACCTGCTGCAGGTGCGCATGGCTTCGGGCCTCGACAGCCCGCACCCTGGGGGTGCTTCCACCCCTGTCCAGTGGCTCAAAGTCAACGACTTGGAGCGGCTGCAGCGCGAGTCCCAGTGGGAGGTGCTGCGCCTGCAGAAGCAGTTAACGCTGCAGCAGGGTACAGGAAGCGCCCAGGCTGAGGCGGGCAGCCAGAGAGCACTCTGTGTGAAGACTCGGCGCCAGGTGCAGGCACTGGAGCTAGAGTTGGCCGCTCGGCGGCGTGAGTGCGAGGAGCAGGGCGCCAAGGCAATGGCTGCACGAAGGCGCTGTGAGGAGGCTGAAGTTCAGCTGCAGGCAGCCCTACAGGAGGGCGCCTGGCAGGCCAAGGAGAACGCCCGGCTGCAGGCCCAGGTCGACTGGATGCGCAAAGTAGCAGCTGAAAACAACGACCTGCGTGGGCAGCTGGACCGCACGTGCCAGGAGCGCGACTCAGCAGGCTTGCTGACTGAGCAACTGCTGCAGCAGGCAGCGCTTAGGCAGGATAGGCAACAACAGCTGCAGAACGACCTGCAGAAAGCCCTGAGTGATCTACAAGCTGCTCAGGAGGAGATGCGGACCCTGCAGCAGAGGCCCTGTCACCCTGCCAGTGACTCCAGGGAGGTTGCCCTCAAGTCCCCCAGCCCAAGCTTGGGGACCCAAATGACCAAGTTTTTGCCAGGGCCTGAAGACCAAGCACCATCACAGCCCAGCAGAGACAAACAAGAGAAAGGGCTAACCTCCCTGCCAGAGCACCCACTTGCTCTTGTAGACTTAGCCAGTGGTCCCCAAATGCCAGACAAAGTGCCAGTTAGCCAACCTCTGGACTGCAGGTCCCAGAGTAAAAAAACCGACTCCCAGTCAAACTCCTCTTCCGAGGTGGAGTCCATGTGGGCCACAGTTCCATCATGCCCTACTCTGGACATGGACACAGCTAGTGAGGTGGATGATTTAGAACCTGACAGTGTATCCTCAGCCCTGGAAGTGGGGGGCTCAGAGGCCCCTGCCACCCCAATAATTAAGATCTTCCTGGCTCGATATAGCTATAACCCATTTGAGGGACCCAACAAGCACCCTGAGAATGAGTTGCCTCTCATGGCTGGAGATTATGTATATATTTTTGGGGACATGGATGAGGATGGCTTCTATGAAGGGGAGCTTGAGGATGGCCGGCGGGGGCTGGTGCCCTCCAACCTGGTGGAACAGATTCCTGAGAGTGATGTCCTGGGCTGCCTGCCCCCCAAAGCCCCTGATCTTGGCCTCACTCATATCCTAGTTGGGCAGGGTATAACATCAAAAGAAGATACTGGTCATAGCTTATTACCTGGGAAAGCCCAGGGGACTGTGGACAGGGGACTGTGCCAGATGGTGAGGGCAGGTTCCAAGACAGAAGTGACAATAGAAAACTCAGATGCCAAGTTAGAAGCTGGCCGGCTGGGCTTGGTGCAGAGTATGGAGGAGCAGGCCTTTTCCAGAACACTTTTGGGGGCCCAAGGGGTCTTTTGTGTGGTCCCCAAGCAACTACACCTACAAAGTGTTGCTAGCACATCAGCTGAGATCACCTGGGTGTATGGCAGCAGCAGCTACCCCCATGTGGTATTCCTCAATGATCAGGAGCATGCCCTGGTCCCAGCAGGAGTGAATTGCTACACCTTCCTCTGCCTGCGTCCTGACACACAGTACCAGGTGCGAGTGGAGGTGCGGCTGCCATGGGACTTGCTGCATGTGCACTGGGAAATGGTGTCCTCCACCATCACCTTTACCACACCCATGGCAGGACCCCCTGACCCTCCGCTGGATGTTCTAGTGGAGCGCCATGCCTCAACAGGCCTCTTGGTGGTCAGCTGGCTCCCTGTGACCATTGATTCAGCTGGGTCCTCCAATGGAGTCCAGGTCACTGGTTATGCTGTGTATGCCGATGGGCTCAAGGTTGCAGAGGTCTCTGATGCCACTGCCGGGAGCACCATGTTGGAATTTTCCCAGCTCCAGAGGCCACTAATGTGCCAAAAGGTCTCAGTGAGAACCATGTCACTTTGTGGCGAGTCCCTGGATTCAGTGCCAGCTCAGATCCCTCAGGACTGTGCAACCTGTCACCAATTGCCAGACGCCTCTTCCTTTAGTTACACCTGTGGTGATACATCCACCTACAGAGTCACCTTCCCTGTCTGCCCTCAGAGACTAGTAATGGCTCCCCTGAGTGCCAAGGCTAGCCTACATACCCCTAGAAGCTGTGGGGAGCCCCAAACTGAGTTTCCAGAAGCACTCCCTGAAGAACTCCCAGGGAGGTGGTCCCTGGTGCCCAATTTGAGTTCAGAAAAAGACTGTCTTGGTGTAGAGTTTGGCAGTCAAGTCCAGGGGCCCACAGAGGCCTGGGAGATCTGCAGAAAGGACCTGCTTTATCGAAAGAGCCTCCAAAGTCATAGGCCACCACAACCCAGTGGCCAGTCTGGTGGGGAAGACGACCACTACTGGTACATGGACGCAAGCAAAAGTCATGCTCTGGGAATGATCCATCCATCCCCTGATGGTGGGCCCAGGAAAGAACCATGTCAGGAAAAACCTGGCCTTGAGAAGAACCTTAGGCAAAAGCAAAATGCTCCAGTGTTCCCTTCATCCCAGCTGGGTATCAGCCAACACTACGAATCTGACTTTAATGACATTTTACAAGAGGAGACAGTACACTTCAGTCCCTGGTGCACAGAAAGTCAAGAGCAGAGAAAGGAACTTAGAATCCAGACTCCAGGGTTCAGGAGAGAGGGCCAGCTCTGTAAGCCCAGTTTGACACTGTGTCCAGCTTCCTCCAGCAAAGTCATTAAGATGTGCAGGGGTGTCCCCTCACTAGAGACAGAGGCAGAGAGACTGACTACAGTCTTTATAGCACTCTTTGATTATGACCCCCTGGTGATGTCTGCTAATGATGAGGCTGCAGAGCATGAGCTGACCTTTCAGAAAGGGCAGTTGCTGAGAGTGTGGGGTTCTCAAGATGCCCGAGGCTTCTACCATGGTGAATGTAATGGGCAAGTGGGCAGCATCCCTGGGCACCTGGTGACCAAGTTGGAGGCAGACATGGGGCAGACTGATGGGACATGGCACTTACCAGCACAAGGACTCCTGCCCTCTGTGGCCCACATCGATGACTTTGCAGGGCTCACCAGTCCCCATGACTCCTTCCCCATGTCCCAAGGGAACTGCAGGAGGACCCCACTGTGGATGCCAAAGACCATGATTGCAGCCTTGGACTATGACCCTAAGGATGGGCAAACAGGGGGCCAGGGAATATGCAAGTTGTCACTGAAGATGGGGGATGTGGTCACAGTCTATGGGCCTATGGATGACAAGGGATTCTATTATGGGGAGTCAGATGGCCACAAAGGCCTGGTCCCAGCCCACCTGTTGGATCACATGGCCCTTCATGGAGAGTGAGCAAGACTCCCCACAGGGGTGGTGTCCTTTGGCCACCCACACCCAGCCAGAGAAGCAAGCAAGTATTTGAACCTTATTACTTTATAACAATACCCCTCTTTACCTCTGTGAGCACCATTTGCCCCACACACTGCTGTGCTAAACCAGTGGCAATGCCCAGGCATCCCCTAATCACCAGGAGAAGCAGGGCTCAAGCATGAACTGATCTGTTTCCAAATGAAATCAGAGCAAGCAGCACCAGAGTCTGAAAGGCCATTCCAGAGTTATTGCTAACCCTGACAGGTATTTGGGGAAGTGCCTTTTTTCTGTGGTCATATCTGTTTTCTGCAGAAGTTCAACATTATCCATCCATTGTCTGTATGAAAGTCTCAAGAAAAGTCTGACTCTTCAAAAAAAAGTGACCAGAATGTTATTTTTCTATCTTATGTTGAACCCCTCATTAAAATATTCATAGAAAAAAAGAAAAATATTTTAGAAGTCAAAGCACAAGCAAGGGACACACACAGGCCACTCTTCCCTCTCACTTCTCTCCAGGGCTGCAGAAATGTTTTCCCATCAGGCATGGGAGAGTACCCTCTTAACTTTTTACAGTTCAGGGTCAACCAACAGGGATGCTGAGGGTCCAACCAAGAGCAGAGCTGAGAAGAAAGGCCCCCAAAAGCTTGGCACAATCTTTCCCACAGGCAACTCTAATGTAAGCCCTGGGTGGAGGGTAGGGAAAGTGTCACCCAGTTTAGAGTATCACTCTGCACACTTTCCTCAGTGTATCACTGAGACTTCCCTGGGAGGGCATTTCCATAGTTAGTCAATTTGATAGAACAACCTGAGTTTCAGCACCCACCCCCCAACCTCATGGCTACAGAGTTGCTTTGTCTCCCACCCTACCCCCATTTTGTAGGTCCCCCCTCTGGGAGAATGGGGATGAGAGGTGGTCTTCATCTTTCTCTGCTTCTGTTTCCCCATCCTTTGTTTCCCATGCCCACTGCCTTGCCTTTCCAGCCATAGAAGGAAATGCTTGGAAGGAAATGACTGAGACAGTTTCTTTGGAGAGTTGTGGACTGGATTTAGAGAGTTCATCATCCCTGAGGTTGAAAGTGGGAACAAGGGAGGGATAGGACCAAGGACTCTCAGCCTGACACAATCACTGCTGCCTTATTCTCAGACAACACAGGAACTAACACAACAGCCATGCTGTGCACGCACATATTTGCCACTCAGGCATGAGGCTGTGGACCTTAGCCAGGGAAGAAGTCTTTCTTACTCCCCTCCACCAAGGGCCACCATCATCCCTTTCTTGTTTACAACCACCTGTTTTTGATAGAGAGCAGGCTCAGAAGGCTCCACAGCTGGCTTGGGGAGGTAACCAAGAGTGGTTCACAAGTATTTTTTCAGTTGTGATAAAATATATGTAACATTACTTTTTGCTTAGGCCCTTGGCCCTGACAGGATGGGGAAATGTCATGTTCTTCTTACCACCAGGAAGCTCCAAAGTCACCAATGAGATCAAAAGTGGCAGAGAAAACAGTACAAGAAAGCCTCTTGAGGTCCAATCCCAAAGGCCAAACCTTTTGGAGGCACTTCCCAAGCAAAAGGAATTGTGCTGGAGAAAGCAGGAGTTGAAACCAAACAGCCAAATCCTGCCTTTGGGAAGTGTATCAGAGTCCAGCTGGTCAAAAATGGCTGAAAAGTTGGTTTTTGTATCCAATGATGGTTGTTTGAATCTTACTGAGGAAAATGATGAGATTCTGGTTGCCAGATTTTGTCTCAAAGGTCATGCTGCTGGTGATAGTCCTATAGTCACTTTAAGGTTGTCAAAACAGCCAGTGTTACTCTATTAGCCTCATGGGCCAGAAGGAGAGACCAAGATCATAAGTTTTTTTTTTTTTAATATTTTTATATATATATATTTTTAAATTGCTCTCAGTTTCTTTTTTTTTTTTTTAAGATTTATTTATTTATTTATACAAGCACTGGGTACAGTCAGAAGTGTGGGAGGGTGAGAGAATTCACCAGAGCCAGAGTGGGGAGCAGAGCAGGCAGAAGGACCGAAGTACACTGCTGAGGGGAGCAGCAGGCGGCAGGAGAGGTCTGCACGCCATGTGGGACCCTCCTCTGGTGGCCGGGGAGCAGCCGGGATTGAACCAGCGCTGCAGAGGCTGCGGGCAGCTTCGCAACCCAGAGCTCAATCGCTGCGCCACCGGGGAGGCCCCGATCATAAGTTTTGATGGTGAAAACACAGTATCAATAATTTTCACATGCCAGCAAAAAAAAAAAAGTAACATGAAATGTACCATCTTAACCATTTTTAGAGACAAATTGGCAGTTATTGTTGCATTTACATTGGTGTGCAAACAATTTCCAGAACGCACTTCATCTTGCAAAGCTGAAACCCTGTTGATTAAACAACTCCCCATTCTCTTCTCTCCATAGATCCTGATAACCTCTAGGGCCACATGTAAATAGATTAATGCAGTATTTGTCCTTTAGTGCCTTATTTATTTAATACCCTGGGCATAATTTCCTCAAAGTTCATCCATATTGTCACATGTGTCAGAATTTTCTTCTGACACAATTTTCTTCAACTTTTTTTTTTTTTTTTAAAGATTTATTTATTTATACAAGCACTGGGTACAGTCAGAAGTGCGGGAGGGTGAGAGAATTCACCAGAGCCAGAGCGGGGAGCAGAGCAGGCAGAAGGACTGAAGTACACTGCTGAGGGGAGCAGCGGGTGGCAGGAGAGGTCTGTGTGCCATGTGGGACACTCGCCCAGCAGCTGGGGATGGAACCGGCGCTGCAGAGGCTGCAGGCAGCTTTGCCTCCGAGAGCTCAACCACTGTGCCACCAGGGAGGCCCTCTTCGACCTTTTTTTAAGATTGGAATATTGTATATCCATATAATATTCCATTGTATGAATTGACCATATTTTGCTTATCATAGCACTCATCTGTTGACAGACATTTGGGTTGCTTCCACTATTTTGGTTACTGTGAATAATGTTGCTATGGACATGGGAGCACAAATGTTTTCTCTCAGCTTCACAAATTTTCAAACCATCAGATCCTTATGAGTTCACAACCCAGAATAGACCCTGCCTTCAGGCTCAGAAGGGTGAGCAACAGGAAAATGTCTGCAAGTCAGGACAGCCTTGCTCCTCCCAGCTCCTGAGTGCCAGGTTGGAGAAATTGCTAGGGTGCCCGAGTGTTACAGGGTAGGGGCGGGAAAGTTTAGCAAGAGAATAGAAACTTTAATCCATGTACTTCCATAATTAAAGATAATAACTGTCATTCTATAAGAAACACATTGCAACCCAACAAGAATACTAGCCTTATTATTCTATCACTTTTTATTTTATTTAACTTTACATCCTTCCCTCATCATTAGCCAAAATTGCTCACCTTTTCTCCAATAGCTGCATGGTAGTCTATGTTATGGCTATGAACAGGCATACCCACCCCTCACTCCAGCTTTATTTTTCTCCATAAGCCTGATCCTCACCTGGTATGTCCCTATTGCCCATGTTCCAACCCCACAACATTGCCGCTAGCCAAAATGTAAGCTCTGCGAAGGAGAGGACCTCTTTGGCTTGTTGAATACCTAGCATAAAAGGATGTTGGAACAAGCAGTTTTTGACCATGCCCTGTATGTGATCCCTGTGCTAGGCTCCACGCATTCACATTGGGCAGATACACCCACAGGCTAGTGTAAGTCATGGGCAGTAGAGGGAGGCCTTGCTAATTCTCACCATGGGCACTGGAACAGGTGAGGACGACATTCTTAAGCAACATAAGGATGTGGATAGCTGGGAAGGCTTTCTAAGCAGTGGAAACAGCAGAAGCAAAGGCCCTAATACTTGAGGATAATGAGTGATTAACCTCACATGGGGAATCTCAGGAAGCATTGGCACCAGAATAGGGAAAAGGATTGGGAATAGGTGCCTCAAGCTGCTGAGGGCCTCCTGTCCTAAAAGGGCTTCCATCTGTCCTTGAAAGCTTGCTTTCACTGCCGCCAGGGGGCAGCCCGGATGCAGTAAGAGTTGATCCCCAGGGACTGTCAACCTGACCTGAGCTGTCTAGGCCCATACTTGCCTGCTCAGGCCCTGAGCCCCAAAGTCTGGGTGAGCAGAAAATATCTTTTTGCTCCTGCATGCTCAAGATTCAGACTCTTATCAGCCTTGTTTTCTCCCCGTCCTTTGTCCCACACTCTGGGAAAACCCTCACATGCCAAAGGGGACCTTCTTCCAGTGGATTCAGGACCATAATTAGCCCCCAATTCAGACACCCGGGCACAGGAAGTCTTCCCTCTTCACAACACTTTTATTTTATTTATTTATTTATTTTTTGAAGATTTATTTATTTATTTATACAAGCACTGGGTACAGTCAGAAGAGCGGGAGGGTGAGAGAATTCACCAGAGCCAGAGCGGGGAGCAGAGCAGGCAGAAGGACCGAAGTACACTGCTGAGGGGAGCAGCGGGCGGCAGGAGAGGTCTGCGCGCCATGTGGGACCCTCCTCTGGTGGCCGGGGAGCAGCCGGGGATCGAACCAGCGCGGCAGAGGCCGCGGGCAGCTTCACAACCCAGCGCTCAACCGCTGCGCCACCGGGGAGGCCCTTCACAACACTTTTAGACCCACTCCCCCAAATCCTAGTTTCTTGGAGGCCATAGGAAGTTTTAGTGAATGAATACAGGAGTCAAGGCCTGGCTGGCTGGGGGAAAGTAAGTTCGCAGAGCTGTGGAGCAACTGGGCCATGGAACCCAGTCAACTGGGTCTGAGGCCTGGTCCACCAGTAGGCATCTAGAAGGCCTCTCCAAACCTCAGTTTCCTCATCTATGTTGGGTTGGGGACAGGGAGGTGGTGTTTTGAGAGACTCTTGTATGCCCTTAGGCCAGGGTCAGGACCCAAAAACATACCAAGAAAAGTGGAAGACCTGGCATGGGAGTCTAGGGACTGTGGGCAGATGGTTCTGGGTCCATCAAGTCCCCACACACCTGAGAACTGAAGGCTTTGATGAGGCAGGAGAGAAGAACACACAGGCCTAGCAAGGAGTACAGACTATGTAGCAGTGGATGCCTGCTCCTAGCAGCACCAGACTCCCTCCTGAACTAACCAGGCTACCTGGAGGCTAAAACTTGTCCAGGCCTGTCCAGGAGCGAACAGGGAATGGAAGCCCAGCTGGCCAGAGGGCAGAGGAACCTACAGAGTGGGCAAAGGAGCAGCATCTGGAGAGTTTAGACTTCTGTAACAAGGGTCACTGAGCCTGTCTCAGCACTGTCCACTTCTGCCCAGGGGCCTCTGGTCAGGGCAGGTCTCTGTACCTCACCAGTCATCACCCATAGAGGAGAGACTTTCAATCGTTTCTCATTGGGATCTTACTTTCTACACTCCACAATGTTGACATGGGTTACCCCCACTCACAAACAAGGAGCCTAAGACTCAGTGTCCGGTGCAAAAACAGCTCC